GGGGGAATCGAACCGTGGACCTGCAGCACGCCGTGTGCACAGGACACATCACCACATTCACTCAGGAAGCTGCAGGCCTGCACACAGTGCTCCAGCAACATCCATCAGAACCACACCTGTCGCCTCCACCAGCTTCTGATTCCGACTCAGCCCGGGTCCAGGACTGGACTCGTGTTCCCACCTGAACTCCACCCTGAGAGGTCTCAGCGTCCGCTGGAGTCTGTGGTCTGACGAAATGAGCGCGAGGGTGAAAAGTGAGAGAAATATAAAGAGAGCGGAGCAGTGTGGAGGCTACCTGTGGTTCAAACATGACATTTACAGGTGAAGGTGGAGGTTCCTTTATGATGCGTGTTCGAGGAGATCCTGGATGTTGTTTAGGCTCCGCCCTCTTTGCCTCAGAGGTCACAGAGACTGAATTAAAGATGTTATCCACCCCAATTTCCTGCTGATGAAGCTGGTCTCAGTGTGCGTCTCCCTGATGGGAAATAAAGGTGTGTGTGTGAGCGCTGGGGGGTTGGAGGTTGCCCCTGGGCTTCTTAAACATAACTCCGGCTCTGACACCAGCCGTAAATGTTCAGGTTTTAAACCCTGAAGCTTCAAGTGTTTCTGAGTGAGTGAGGAGGAGGAGGAGGAGGAGCTGAGGCAGACCAACTTTTCGTGGCTCGTGTCGTTCAGCCTCAGCTCCGGTAACTCGCTGAAGTGCCGCCGGGATGAAGCGGCAACGTTTCCGTCCTCCGGTGCGCGGCAGAGAGAGGAGAGCGGAGTGAGAGCGTCTCCTTCCTCCCGCACGTTTCTCTTTGCGTTTTTTTCGCTTATCGGTTTGAAAACAGCTCGTGTGCACCTGAGTGACGCTCAGCCCGCAGCAGGAGGAGCGGGGGGAGAGCAAGGCTGATGTTTCACGCCGTGTGTTTGCGTGGATTCGCTTCTGCGGACGCCGCTGTGCTGACCCAGCCTTCCTCCGGACTTCACGCGAGGACCTGTGGATTCTTCACTTAAACTTTGTTCCACGCTGTCGTCTCTCTGGTCGTCTCTCATTGATCAGATGTTTCCTGGAGGTACAGCTGCTTCTGCAGGCAGGACGCTGAGAGCTGGTGAGTGTCTGCTCAGGTTTCCTCTCACTCATCTCCACATCTGCTCAGATGAAACAGGGAGGATGTGAGGTCACACCTGAGGACCAAACGTTTCTCCAGTTGCATCATCAGGAATTTTGTTTTCCTTGGAAGACCGAGGAACTCAGAGAACTTTAAAGACTTCAATGGGAAAAACCCGAAACTGCCACAAAGAAGGAAACTATCCTAAACCCAGAACTAGGTGTTTGCTCTCTGGTGAACCCCATCTGAGGAATTCAGGGAGACCCTGGAGGTTCTTCAGTACATACTGAGAAGAAAGTGAGTGAAACTAACGACACACCTGAAATATCCTCCTGGAAGAACCTGCAGCATTACCACAGGAACTACATGACATCCCTGGAGGCTTCTGAAGACGCTGAAAGTCTGAATCTGAAGCTTCCTGAAAGTCTTTCTAATTTTTTACGTGACCCCCGAGAAATGCTGAATGTGGCAGAAGAAACAAAGTAAGTGCGGGTGTACCAAAGATCCTGGGTGTAAGAATATTTAAGAGTTGCTGTAACTGGTCATAGACTAACACTTTGACCAATCAGGATGAGCACTTCAAGGATCCTGAACATCCATAAAAACAGGAAACTCTGAGGAGGAGGTGCTGTGCAGGAACATGACTTTTGGAAGTCAAAACTTTTAGGTGCTCAAAATCCTCAAAGACCCCAGAGGATTCGAAGAATCGAGTTCTTTAGGAGAAGAAAGTATTCCAGTGGAACCTGGGGGCGTACCCCAGATAGTTCAAAAGAACTCCTTGTGGATCCCCTGAAGGACAGATGGGGACCTTGCGGGACCTCCAGTATGCCCTGCAGGAGAAGATCGAGGAACTTCGGCAACGCGACGCCCTGATAGACGAGCTGGAGCTGGAGCTGGACCAGAAGGACGAGCTGATCCAGAGGCTGCAGAATGAGCTGGACAAGTACCGCTCGGTGATCCGGCCCGCCACCGCCCAGCAGGTCCAGGCGCAGCAGCAGAGCCTCGTCCTGCAGCCAGACCAGCACCGCAGCAAGCGGCAGGCCATCTCCGCCGAACCCACCGCCTGTGACATCAGCGACCTGTGCCATGTGACCCTGCCCTTCTACCCCAAGAGCCCAGAGTACGTAAGCTACCTGCACCTTAAAGGGTTAGCTCGTCCTCCTGCAGATCTGTGGCTCTGAATGAGGGCAGCGCTGCAGGACTGTTAGAGGTTTCTTTATTGTAGTCAGTGACATGAGTAGAGCTGATGTGATGAGACAGACCGCTGCACCTTTACTCCGACACATAAAGGGTCATTTCCAGTCGTTTGATGTGATTATGCTGTTTGGAGCTGAGGTTCATGTTTGCTGCGATTCTTGAGCGAGGAACGCAAACATCCATAATAGATTAATTCAGTTTTTGCTAAACGGTCCAGCTGCAAACACCTGGCTCACATCTGAATTATGAGCAGCTGTTCATCAGCCACGCAGACGTCCTGAGAACCAATCAGATTTAACTCTGTTCTCGTGACTGATGGGCTGAAGGTGCAACAACAGTGAGTTGTTTTACAGACTGAAGGCTGCAGCTTCGTTGGGTGTGATTAAAGCTGGAAGCTTAGACAGTTTGTGGGTAACGCCACAGCTTCAGGTCCGTCATGTCTAAGGTGACGTATCAGCCACACAGCAGCTGTGACGCTGCGCGGTCAGAGCGCCGTGTCGTGGTTTCTTTGAGGAGAAAGGTGAGAGGAGCTCCTGCCTCCTGAAGCCTGTACAGGGGCTGATCCAGGATACCAGACCCTTCAGGCTCTGTCCTCCTGCTGCGTGTCCTGGTGTTAGGCTCACAGCTTTAGGAAGACCTGGACTTCACTGCTCTGCATGGGTTTCATATTTAGAAATAAATCCAGGTACAAAGTCTCTGCGTGCGTTCATGAGGCTTTTTAATATGGCGCTGCTGGTGCTTCACAGCACCACCAACCCTCCGATTAACACATGACCTGCTCTACCACAGACAGATTTTACTGCTAGATTACAACTTAGGTGTTTAGATAAAACAATTTTTTATGAAGTCAGGCATCATTCTGTATTTTCATCACTCTGTATTTTGGAAATAAGTTGGGACTAATCTGGGAAACTCCTGCAGCTGTCACAGACTGGCACAGAGCGAGTCGTCGCTGTAGCTTTTTTTAAAAAGCAGAATTTAATAAGAATCAGTAAAAACACAAAGATGTGAGCAGGTCAGTGTGAAGGGAGATTCCAAACGGGACCAGGTCATGCACGAAGTGTGGGCGGCTGTTTTGGGCCATACTTCTGTGGACTTTTAATTTTGCAGTCTGACATGAGCTAGGTGCATGTTGTTATTTTGAATGATGCTTCCTGCATGAAGCCGCCACACGTTAGCTCATGTTGTCATTGTTGTCTGGGACCAGGATGCACAGCATGAATGTGCGGCTGCGTCTTCATCTCTGCTGCTTCAGTGAAGGTCTGATTACAAGCGAGTAGACGTGTGGAGCCGGCAGCACGGGTCGCTTCACCTGCACAGGTGGAAGCAGAGGACGGCGTGCAGATTCATTCTCCTCTCTGATCTTTCCTTTGTCATTTTCCACATTTGCCTCTTCAGCAGTGAGGAAGCTTGAAGCATTCATAAGTGATGCAGTGTGTTCACCGGCTTTTCCTTCCACGGATGAAGTCGCCACGAAACACGTCGACGGCTTTCACATCACATGATTCGTTTGCACGTGTTAGTCTTCATGTTGTCGTGGACACACGTATGATGAGTGACGATTGGCTGTTTTCTCCTGTTAACGGTGGGCAGCGCGTAGACGACCAGTTTGGACTCAGAGTTTTTTTGGTGCCTGCAGCACTGCAGGGCCTCGTCAGCCTCGCGCAGGCTGGCCGCTCCACCTCAGAGGCCTCCAACACCAAACACTCGACGCGGTTCAGGAATCCAACCTGCTAGTTTAGTTTATCTGCTCGTGTGTGACCAGGATGTCTCTGACTGCAGCCACTCATGTTTTAGCTAAATAGATTTAAATGCTGTGTTTAAGTAACATACACAGAACTATTATATTCATAAGCTCAAAATCTTATTGGAAACATAACTGAGTTGAATGGTTGGCTGTAACGTCTGCCGGGTTCTGGTGTGCAGGAAGTGGAAGCAGATGGATTTTCTGAATCAAAGATGGTCTGACCAGCAGCAGCGTTTGAAGGCGCTGTGAGTAATCAGATGCTCAGCCTCAGTTCTTCAGTTTCCAGGACACGTCACACTGCAGTAACCTTCGGCTCCCTGACGCGCCTCTGCCGCTCACACGTCTTAGTGTCGGCTCAGCTTTCCGCCAGAGAACCACCTGATGCTGCACTTCCTGTGCGAGTGTAGACATTTGTACCTGTAATGACTCAGTGTTTGCTCCTGACAGTTTCCTGCACTCACTCAGTTTGTGCTGGAGTCACGTTTGTTCTACTTTTAACTCTGAGTGAAGCTTTTTCTGGAAACAAGGTTTTACTCAGAGCTGCTGCCCAGTTTTATTTTTGGACCTTTATGATTTGTTACAAAGGTCATAAACAAATATGCAGGACTGCTTTCTTCCCTTTGTGCAACATCTCTACAAATGGAAACATCACATTATCTTTTCAGGAAGTCCTAAAAACTC